GTAGTCAAAAACAATTCCTTAACCTCAGAAAGCTGAAATATTCTGGCTTGATAACTTCCCTCATGTCATGCCAGAAACCCAAAACCTCATTCTCCAAATGTCAAACACCCAAAATCACAATGTCCGCTCTCCAAACCTCGTAATCTCAAAGTCACCCTGAGCACTGTGAATCTCGAAAACTTCAGAAACACAAATAAAGGTACCTAGCACACTCACCAAAACTCAGAAAACTAATTTGAAAATTAAGCCCTCCACAAAACTTGTGAAAATGTAAAAGTCACCTAGTCCACTCTCAAAACTTGAAGAAAAAACCAAGTCACCTAGCCCACTCATTACACTTCAGAAAACCAGAAGGTACATCTGGTTCTTTTGCCAAAACTATAATAGAAATTTCTGACCAATGAAAAACATATCACTGTAGATACAGATAGGACCAAGGCAGGCAACGTATATATATTTAACCTGACCAAATGACAAACTTTGTGAAACAAATTTTTCCAGACTCCTCTGTCTCTAGGCGCAGTGAAGGCACTGGAAAAGTACTATAACCCCAGCCATCTCGCACCCGTTCATACTGGGGATAGGGAAAGTAAACTGAACTACCTTGCAATGTGAGTAAAAAAAGTTATCAAAGACACAGAAAATGCAAACACCAAATTAGCTACTTTGATAAAAAAAAATAAGGTTTGGCAATTACATGGCTGCTGCTTCATACAGATGTGGTTACCGACTCTGAGACGGAGATATGCAGATCAACTTGATCAAACTTGTGCAAAATTGCAAAACTTGCAAAAATTCAGATACAAAAACTTGAATTTCTTTTGACAAAATATGATTGTGCTTACTGGTACCATTGGATAGAAAGAGGAAGTTATAGGGGAGATAACTCTGACAGTCATATGCTCAGCTATACAGCTACATGTACTGTAGGTTGAGGTACCAACCCACCACTTAATATAAACGTGATTTGTGCTTTGAAATAAATCAGTTTAATTTTTATCATTAAACTTTAGTAATGAACTAATGATAAATGAGATAGTTCCAAGCTTTATACATATCTTTTGTAAATCATGTTTTAGTTATTTTGATAATGAATTGAGTATTATAACTTTGCTATCTGAATGGGGAAAAAAACTGCTATGTCCTGTGAGTAAAACATGAACTGATAAGCTATTATATGAATAAAACAACTCACTGTGGTGCTGTGTTAATGTAAAAATGAATTATCCTGGAGTTTGAATACAGTAATGATTTTTTTTAAATGCGAGCAAAACAATTAACAAACTGCTGTATGGTTTGCGAGTAATTATATTATAAACTTTCCTTTTATGCGAGCAAAAAAAAGCCTAAAACACATCTACAACAACGAACCCCTTTCATTGACAAATTACTAGTATAGAATGCTAGAGTTGAACTTTTCTATAGAATTTTAGCATATAAAAGAATTTTGCTGGTTTCAAAAGGACAAAATGAGGGTAAAAATGGCGAGTCTTTGAAGCTTTGACCCTAGGGAGAAAATTGATAGATTTAGGAAGTGTAGGCAGAAGGAATCCCTATCAGCTCAAACTGAAGAGCACCTAGCTAATTGACATAGTAAAACAATACTTCAGGACATTACTTCAAACTGTCTATGTTATAAGTACAGTGAGTGAGGCATTTTTTTCAACCAACATTTTCTTTCCATAAGAAAGAATTCAAACTTAAAGAAACCTTGATTCTTTTAAATTTAATTTGAAGTTGGTTATATTTTTGATAATAATAAATGAGTCTTAAGAATTCAATATTCTTTACAAAAAAAAAGACTGAAAACTTAGAAGGTAAAGTACATTTCACTTAATATCATGTCACTTAATGTCACATTTTGGTTATTATCATGTTTTCTTGATGCACCATTTTTCCTGCTATATCATCTGTGAAATTCAATTCTGTTATTATCACTTGTTTTGATGTTGATTTAACATTATTTTGTAGTAGCCGATTTCATTCCAAGCTGCATAAGGTTTCCACTACGACAGTGGACTCTGGTACAGATGGAGGTAACAACCACGTTAAATTGCCCGATCTCAGCATCCCCCCGGCTGGTCGCAAAGTAGTGGTACAGGAACTGCCATCGTCTACCATCTCCAACACTTTTTCTTCACCAAAGGCACCACTTAGTTTTGGAAGGAGGTGAAAATACATTAATATCTGTTAATGTAAATTACCGTAATAATCCAACTTAAAGTACAGGGGGTCACTATGAAATGTGATTGTGGGATAAAAAAAACGTATTGGGGATGGGGTACTGCAGAGATAAAGATTACATAAAAGAAAAGGATTTGAGGCTCATTGCTCAGAAGAGGATGATTGGCCTTAAGCTTTATACCACATACATACCGGGGTATTTGCAAACTCTCCCTATTTAGGAGAAAGACTCCTAATTTTTTACCCTTAAATTTAGCAAATTCATCTAGTGGATTTGCTAAACTATCCCCATATTCTAAGATCTAATGATTTTATCTGAGAGACACGAATCAAAATATGTCATTTTAAAGGGTTGTTTTGTCTCTAGGGGATATATACACACATTGTAAGTGGTTTATAAGAATGTTGAATAATCATTATTATTATTATTATTAATTATAAGTATTCTTTGAATTTGAAATTGTATCCCTAGTCAAAGCACACTATTTTCTTTACTGTTACAAATGTTGCCGTGACCAGGATTGTGCTGAAATGTGATTTGATGAGTTAAGGTGACGTATGCCTAGCCCAGTCCCCCTTTGTTCAAGAATATTTTTTGTTTTCCAGGAAGTCTATGCGTGTTCCGATGGAGGCTGTTCTGAATTTAATACAAAAGAAGAAACAGATCATCATTGAAACCTGGGAGGAATTGGTGAACTTACAAATTGGCCGGAAGGCTCCATCAGCAGGGATGGGAATGCATGCCAACCTCATCCTTAAGGCCATGCAGTGGAAGTACGTAACCTTAGAAACCTGTCCAGTTACCATGGAAACGTGTGTTTAATGTATCCATTGTGGGATATATATATAT